GTGCAATCTGAAGACTGGACCTAAAAAAACGTTTTCTGACATTTTTGCAAATTTCCATGGGAATAATTCATTTGGATTTTGGATGAAATATTTGACCATTTAGGCGACTGATATGCTGTTTGGCCTGGCGGCAGTTTGTGCTCTACTAAGTGAGAAACCTTTTCCCTTTGAGTTTTGAGATCATTTTCATTACTGAACATCTGCCTCACCTCAGCCAGTCTGGACGGCTTGTGGCTGACCTCCGTTTTGCTTATTGGTGCTAACTGCTGCACCAGATTGCGGTTGTTGGTCAGTGCCCGCGTCAGTCGGGCGAACTTTGTCCAACCTACTTGGAGACCAAATAAGACAGATGCTTTTTTATTTCATCACGCATTGCACAACATTGGGGTCATACTCACATTTATACAAATACAAAATTTCAAAAAAAAATTCCCACATTTCAAGAAGAGGATTTTAAGAATTTTTCCCCAGTTGCAATGAACAATAAAAAAAAAAAGCGGTGACTTTATAATATTAAGAAATGTGCTCTTTCTCTTCACGAAAAACTGTAAAATGCCACCAATGAGAAGATGACGTGGAAAAACTGATTACATTTACAAGCAACCTGCTTTTATTTCAGTTTCCTGATATATTCAGTTGTACTTGAACATATCATCCCTGCAGGCTTCTAAATCCAGACTTACTCCATGTTGTGGTCATATTGTGTCCCAAAGATAAAGACATTGTGAAACAGAAGCACATAAATGCTTCATGCTGTATTCATGGTGCATATTTGACTGTGAAGCCAGTAGCCAGCAGTACTCAGCCAGCTGGCACATGCTTTTGTTAAAAGGATCCCGCCTCACTTCATTTCCCCTGAGTACAAACAGTATTTTCATACAGTTAACATCCCCATGTGGTCTGCTTCATGTATGTTAAACATGCAGAAGCACGCGTGATCCCCAGGGACACTGCACCATGTGGACCCACAGAGACACAAGTGTTCACTGACCCGCACACACAACACCTGGACAGTTGTATGTTACATACCAGGAAACAGACGTGTGCTAAGTCACGGCCACTCGTGTGTGTCTGAGATGTTTGGCTGCACTGCGACTATAGTGCACTGGAGAAGTTCAAACGTTTCAGATAAATAGGCTTTATATAATGAGAGATGACAGGACACTGCCCCCTTGTGGCTGGCTGCAGAACATGTCAAAAATCCTACCTCCACTATGTTAATGGATGGGACACTAACCAAACTAAAAATGCAAACATTTGAGGTCAATTTTTTTCAAAGATGGCTTCTGTCATTTTAGGTGGTTGTTATCACACTGATGTTTGGTTTTAGTTATTTGATGCTATAAAAACAAAGTGAAACATCACGACGGACAACTGAGTATGACTCATGATTGGTCCAGCGTGTGAGGTCAGTCTGACCTTGCTTCTTTGGCTCCACCCCTCAAATGCTGCAGCACAGAGCCTGGTTCTGAATGTGTAAGATGGCAGCACTCGTACTCAGGATGAGATATTATGGTTTCAGAGTAGATTGTTGTGAATAAAGGCTAGATTATAAACTCACCTCTTGTTGACTCATCTTCAATGGGCTGTTTAAAAAGTGTGATGTCTCTGAATGTACAGAGGAAAAGCACCACCTTGTCCTTCTCATTTCTGATCGGTGCCACCTGCATGTAAAGCCATATTGGTGTTCCTGTAGGAAACAAGGAAAATAAGAAGTTCTTTCATTTAAATTGGATTGTCAGGATAAAACTGCAGAATGGATTTCCACAAAACTAAGTGAATGGATGGGATATGGGTCAAGACATAAGACATGAAATTTTGGTGCAGATCTGGATCGGGAGGCAGAGCCAGGATTTCCGAAGGGAATCATTTCTGGATCTTAATAAAAGAAATTAGGCACATTTAGGAAACTGGTATCTATGAGTGTGAGCAATTGGGTGCAGCTTGATTGAATTTAAGGCGACTGCCGGGCCTTGGCCGAGGTATGTGCTTGGCCATTGTAGTTTTAAAATGCATTTAATAATTTCAGAAAAAAATGTGATACTCACTGTTCTTTGTGTAGAGCAGCACCTCATAGAAATTGGACTCGTAGTTATCGAAGGTTCGCCTGATTTTGTCTATTGTCATTTTATCAGTCAGGTCACCATACATGAAACTAAGAAATAAGAGAGAGGGATAGAAAGTGAGAGGTAAAAAAAAACATGTTGTGTCAGCTGCTGGAGAAAGAAAAACAGAAGACAGTCAACTAAGGTGGAATTTGATATCATACATACTTTTCATTTTATTCTGTAATTTAATAATGCAGGTTTTTTAAATTAGTCATCACATTTTTATAGCAACAATATATATGTTTTATTTTAGTGCTGGGCTCCTCTTTTGCAGATTTACGAACCATCTACTTGAACCTTCACATTCCGGACTGATACAAAATCTCGTCTTACTTGCATGTGCTGCTCCTGTGCATGACCTCAGCTCTGTGGTAACCTGACAGCTTGCAGAATCCATCATTGCTGTAGACGACCGGCCACTCCACGATCTGGGCATTTCCCAGAAGGAAACTGGTTTCTGCAGAAAAACATGGAAAAACACAGACGTCTGGAACAAAAACTGCCAACACACCAGCACCTGTCCATTAAGATTCGATGTTCTGTCAGTGAAATTTTGAAAACTGGAGCTATGCAACCTCATGGACACTGGAATACTTTTACTGTTGGCTCATATTTTCAAATAAACTATGTTGTACCTGAAATATTCAGTGCAGTAATTTAAATTACTGTTGAGCCCCAACATCCCTACAATTATAATGCAAACAAGGGGCAAAACCCCATTAATATTTAAAAGAGCAGTGGTAATCAGACGAGTCAGCAGGCAGAAATAGTTGTTGATAAAATGTTTATGTTCCAGCCTTAATGTCAATGAAATATTGATGAGGAGTGGCAAAGTTTTACAGAAGCTTTATAACAGTCTGCAGGGAGCTGCGGTCTCCAGAGGAACGGCTGAGGACAATTTCTCCTTAATGATACTGAAGCTGTCAAAGTTAAAGTGTCTGCATGTTTGTCTACAAATGAAAGCCTGAGAGATCGATGCCAGAGACCAAAGCTGCTCTTAAGCATTATTAGGATGAATGATTACTTCACAAACTTTTAATATACTGATTTGCACTGCTGTCAAATCAGTATTTGTTGAAAAAAAAAACCTCCAGTGTCACACGTATTCACTGTCAAGCTCATGCATGAGGATGAAACCCATGCATACACGCAGTCAATCTGAAAAATAGATTTTTGCCTGTTTTGCAAGAATATCACAATGAAATATTTTAAGACTTAATGAGGTGGAGCTAAAAAAGCGCCAACTAAATCATAAACGTATCAAATCACAATCAAGAACTCACATTAAACATCTCCTAGAAATAAAAAAATGTCTTTTCTTAGACATGAAATTGACTTTGTCTGGATTTTTACTGAAATCACCCAACAAAGTCATTTCAGCACTTATAACAACATTTTAGGAATATATTATTTTACTTAATGAATCCTGGGGAACTGGACTGGCACATAGCCTATTGTATAATCCATTGGTACAAATAACATGCATTGCATTTGCATTGTTGTTAAAGTAGCTTTATCCCCAAAAACCTAAATTAAATAGAGTTATTAATTTATGCTTGTGATTCTGTCCCTGAATTGACACAGAAATGAACATTATAGTTTTACTTCAGCATCCTGCAGCCCTGCAATGTGGAACCTGTCACATCTACATTCATGCATCTTTCCCTCTCGGGATAAAACTCACCGCTGGAGCGCCGGACAATGTTCTCCAGGAAAGTGTTCTGCGGAGCCACCAGTCCTCTCTTGCCCCCATGCATGGTGAGGGATCAGGGCACAGAGACCCGCTGCAGCTCGGTGGTGGTGCTGATGTTAACTACGGTCCCATCAGAGAGTCTGAGCGACGACCACTGCTGTCAAGTCAACCATCAGCAGGAGTACATCCGGGCAAGGGTTCAAAGAAATAAAAGCCTCTTTGTTGAATGTAGCATTTTTATAGTGTAAGGAAATGACACCTATCCAAACCTGGCCATTTAATGAATTCTAGTCTGATATAAATTGTGTTAATTCTCCCCAAACGCCAATACTAATAATAATACATGCACAGTTATTTAGTATAATGGCGTAATGGTACTTTTATTTTGAAGAAAATGTATTTGATTTTCGGTATTTTTTCTCTATTTTTTATTTCCAGTTTCTCGTGTCTGCATACATGGACTGACTTCAAATGTATGTTACTTACAACATAAATGTTGTTTATTTAAGTTACAGGTTTATTAACACCATATTATGGTGTGGGGGGCTATACTTCCCGTTCCTTTTCACTATGCGTAGCTCAGAATAATGTCATGACATGTAGCAAAAAATATTTTGAAAAATATAAATGACAAACATTAAAACTAGTGTCAATGCTATTTGCAATTTCATGTCAGATTATACACTGCACTACCCAACAGAGCAGAAAGTAGTTAAAGGTAGTCCAATCAGCTCCAGTTTAATATCATATTTACAAAGTATAAATGACATTATTACAAGTCTAAAGAATCCATTTTCATACTGTAACTTCTGGAGAGGTCTCAATGAATAAATGGATGATGGGTGGAGGCAGACACACCATACAGTCTATGAGACACACAGATAGATAGATAGAGAGAGAGAGAGAGAGAGAGAGAGAGAGAGAGAGAGAGAGAGAGAGAGAGATAAATAGATAGACAGATAGATAGATAGATAGGTAGATATACAGATAGGTAGATAGATATAAAGATAGTAAAGAGCATAATGAGATAAATACATTAAAATATAGGCTAAAATATAAAAGTATAAATCATTTGTTTCTACCTAACTCCTGTATAATATTAGATGCTGAGTGTACACAGTGATTTTGAATGAGTGTAATGTATGACATGTCCAGCAGGGGGGAGTACTCAGACATTTGGTCCATTGAGGCCCAGCTGGAGGAGGCGCAGAAGAAGCAGCCGCAGGAGTAACGTCCTGACCATGGATATAAAAGCTCCTGACGCAGGAGCAGCAGCGTGTGTCAGGATCCTCCGCGAACTAATGGTTAACTGTGGCGGACTTTGGAAGCTGCGTGCTGGGTGTGTGTTCTGAATGCGGTCGCCAGGTAGAGGTCGAGTGTAACAGCTGTTTTTTATTACTCCGGTGTTGAAGAGGAATGAAACGGCCGCCGAGCTGCGCCTCCCCCTAACGAGCCCCGGCGGATGAACATGAACTCCATCTTTGCGCAGAGTTGTTGTGTGTTTTGAATTGACCGCTGCTCTGAAGTCATGGCGAACGACGCGGTGAAGTCGTTTGTGCGGGTGTGCCGTTACCTCCAGGAGCCCTGTCATGTGGCGAGGTTTCAGAATATCTGCGGCGTCAAAGGCACGTTCGCGGACAAGTCGAGCAAGTCGAGCAGCGGACCCCCGCAGCCCGACTGTTCCGGGCTGAGGAAGCGGCTCAACGGCTCGGAGGTCGGGAACGGAGCGGCCGGGGATGCCCCCGCGCCGCAGCCCAACGGGATGCAGGGTGACACGACCGCCGGGCCTGACGGTTCATCATCATCATCATCATCGCCATCAGCGGCTAATGTCGCTAAACCCCTCCGGAGGAACTCCCTGACCGGAGACGTGGGTCAGGAGTTCCTGATCCACAACAAGTTCCTCTTCTACCTGTTCACGTTCGGCACCGAGCTGGGCAACGAGATGTTCTTCATCGTCTTCTTCCCCTTCGTCTTCTGGAACATCGACGCCCTGGTCAGCCGGAGACTCATCGTGGTCTGGGCCTGGAACCTGTTCGTGGGTCAGTCCACCAAGGACATGGTCCGCTGGTCCCGGCCGGCCTCCCCGCCCGTGGTGAAGGTGGAGGTCTTCTACAACTCCGAGTACAGCATGCCCTCCACACACGCCATGACGGGGACGGCCATCCCCTTCTGTCTCTTCATGTTGACATATGGACGGTGGCAGGTGAGCACTGGAGACCATTGTGTAGCTGACAATAGATTTGTAAAGTAAAATGTTTGAGAGGTGGAGTAGATGATCTGGATCTACAACAGAGGTAAGCATTGGTTTAGTGCTCAGGCAGATGCACCGTGATCCCAGATGTGTAAAGGCCCCAACAGCCAGTTTTCTTATACTTCCAATCTAAAATTTTAAAGGAGGATAATTCAGGGAGCCTGACCTTTTAAAATATACAAATAGACTTTACACATTTTCAGGCCACTGTTAGACATATTTAAAGATGGATGATGACAGGACTTCTTCCCAAAAATGAACCTAAAATTGTCAAAGTACACTTCAAATAACTTTTTCTCAAAGATGGTTGCTGCCCCGTTCAACTAACACGTACAATTGCCATCTAGCAGTTTGCACCATATGCTGTTGATGGATGATGTGACTGCCCCGCAAAAGAGAAGCTGGTTGCAGTAAAGGTCATAAACCCTATCTGCTCTATGTTCATTCATATTAGATAGTTCTCCTCACATTAATCTCGTAAGTTGGGCTTTAATAACTTATTTGACAGCTGAGACTGGCTCACAATGGGTCGAGCATGTTTATCGATGGGATCTCGCTTCCACGGCTCAATCCTCTGACTGCTAGAAGATGATGGCGTTCGTATTGGGGATAGTTCGGATTAATTTCTGGATATTGAGGAAGTATGCATCATCCATCTTTATATACAGTTTATGGGACCAGTGGATCAGCATTGGCACAAGGAATGGGGGAAAAAAAAACCACAGACTACCCTTAAATCCCCCTTTAATCCCCAGTGCCCAGTCTTGTATGAGGCTCAAAGCTCAGGAGGAACAATAAGAGGAGCTTACACACATTCACAGCTATGTTACAGCTGATGTTTGCAGCTGTTGGCAGCAAACATCTCAGGGGAAGCAGAGAGTTGAGACATGACAGGGTGTGCCGGAAAAGTACAAGCAAGGAATGGAAATATGGCTTTGTTTATTAAGTAAACAAAGGGTCACTTTTCCACATTGTCAGAGAAGAAGGGAAGGGGGAGGGAAGTAGAGGTTTAAGGGAAGAGAAATTACATTTTTTAAGTAAAAGGGAACTGGAAGGTTTCTCTTTACTGAAGGGCTAAGAAAGAAGAATGTTGTTTCAGCAACAAAACCTGTTCACTCACTGATACGGCATGCAGCACTTGTTTTTTTACCAGCACAGAGATAAACTGCAGATAACCTATAGGGAGATGCACTGCCTGCATCACAACCCCTGACTGGATATTAATGACAAGGATAAGCAAAGGTTCACTTTGTGGAATGTTTAAGTATGATGCTACAAGACTGCAACACACGTTGATGAAAACATCAGATGAAACATTATTTTCCTGGCTTTAGCTCCACTAAACCAATTGTGATTGGTTAAAGAAATGCAAACTACCTAAAGCATTTGTTTCCCCTGTAGCAGAATAATAAATGGTATAGGCAGACCATTCTTCAGCGCTAACACAAGGATGTGGTAGGTGACAAACAACTCCAGGGTTTCCGCTACATACATTTTGCAGTGGCAGCAATGGCCTGCCCCCCACTGCAAAAAAAAAAAGAGGAAACACTGACCTCATACACTGAGGCAAGAGTTGTTAGAGAAAAACAAACTATGAGCACAGACAGACAAAAAGGGCATCACAGACAGAGGGCAGGGGTCATTGTGGAAAGAGACAAAGGGGTTATGACCAGGAAGAGCTAAGCCTCTCAAAAGTTTTAACGTTGTTGCTGTTTTCTGTGTGAACACCGGCAGCTGAACTGAACCAGAAGAGCCTGAACTCCGTCTGTGTCGTCGTCTGAAGGATGAAGAACTAAAACTTTTAAGAGAAAGTGGTTACAGAAGGTTACAGAAGATAAGATGCAGACCATAAACGGCCGATTCAGAGGATTAGCTAAATGCTGCACAAAGACACCCTGCTCATGCACTGACCTTTGTCTGGATCCTTCCAACGAAAGATATGAGTGAAATCTCTTCCTAATGGACTATGAACTGAGGGTTTTTTCTTTCAAACCTAATATTTCCACTAGAAATCATATTGTAAGGGCCGCTGTAGTCACTTTATATTCTAGTCATGGTCAACAGTCTTTTGAAATGGGTCAGAGTATGTCAGCTGAGTAGACAGTTCTTCATATGTGGCCCAGGATGAATTATATTTCACAAATTTAAAACAATGTGTCCTCAGTCTGTGAGAATTCTTATTTAATTTCACTTACGCCCTGATTCCACCACAGTCTAAACAGTGGTAAGTGGGGTGAATAATCAGTTCTTACAGGGAACTATGATCTGAGTTTTCCTGTATCTCTCAAAGCCTCATCTTCAGACACTTTTCTAATATCTTAGTTTTTTCAATCTCTCTCCCACAGTATACCTTCCTGTTTGGCTTGTGTGTGGCTCTGAGCTGGAGCGTCCTGGTATGTGTGAGCAGAGTCTACATGGGGATGCATTCTATCCTGGTAAGAATATTAAACAAGCAATATCAAATAAATAATCCCTCAATGAAATGCAAATGAATTGGAGGATTTAAAGAGATGCTGTTCCACTAGTGCACTTTTCCTACAGTGACAACCATAGGCCCTCCTCAAATTAGTAACCACACTCACTTGGTCGGCTTGTAAAAATAAAAATAAATGGCCTTGAACTTCTGGAGTCACTGATCCCACATTATGAATGAATATCTGCACCTCAGACAGGTTATAAATGCTGGCATGACTCCAGTATTCCTGCACTGATGATGAACTTCAGTCTGTAATCATCTTTAATGGAGAAGAGCTTCAACCATAGCCCCAGGCATCTTAGTCATTCATACTCACATGTGCATATTTGAAATGTCTGTAGGTGGACAGATGCCTGCTGTTAGAGGAGTCGTCCGACCAGTTGTAGAAATAAGATTCTATGATAAAAACAGATTCTTATAGTTTTTCATAGTTTACATCACTATAAGTTAGATTTTGTTTGCGTGGTTTATTTTCTACTGTATATAACTTCAAGCTGGAGATGAAAAAGATAAAAATTGGTCTGTTTTAATCAAACCATATCCTCACCAGTAGTTTGAATTTTTAAGCTCACTATTTATGGAAAAATAATATTTGCAATAAAAGGAAAACCCTCAAATGTCTGAAAAGTGGAGGGTGGTCATCGGCTTTTCCATTAAGCTTTTTACCCATTTAAAATAGAATACAGAATCATCCACAACATACAATAATAATTACACTGTACACAAAAACGTGTGTGTGTGATTAATGGAAAATTGGCAGTAATCACAGCCTATAAACACTGAAGCGGGTAGATAAGGTTAGATTAGATTCTGTGGCCTGGCTGCGGATGCTTGCAGATATTGTTTATGCTGCATCGTACAACAGTAACACGTGTTCTTCAGTCTGCAGCTCGCCTGGTTTTACAAGTGTTTACTACTATCACTACCTCAATTAAATGTCTGCGTGAAAACTGTTGTATAGCGCCACCTACACGGCAGAAACAGCAACAGGGTTGTTTTTTTGTTTATTTGGTGGAGGAACTGGATTACTCTCTCAATGATGATGCTATGAGAATACATCATGGTGCTTTGTAGGACTGTGAGTGTGTCAAGAATATGTATATAACCCCATTAAAAACACATTATGGTGATTTAACTTCACTGCCATTCCTCTGTTACAGGAGGTGATCACTGGCTTCCTGTACAGCCTCCTCATTCTCGCCTTCTTCCATCCCATTTTGGACAAGATTGACACCTTCTACATGATGGACCACTACGCTCCACTTGTGATTATATTCTCACACGTTAGCCTGGGACTTGTGGCGTTCTCTCTGGATTCCTGGAGCACCTCTCGGGGAGATACGGCTCAGGCCCTGGGCACCGGGGTGGGAATTGCTCTGGCAACCCATGTGAACTATCAGCTGGGGCTCCTGCTGGATGCGCCGCTCTCATCACTTCCTCTAATGTTACCGTCGATCAGCGTGGGCCTGTTGGTCCGCTCGCTGCTGCGCTTCCTCCTTGGAGTCGCCGTCCTCCTGGTCACGAGGATGGGCATGAAAGCAGTGACTATTCCCTTCTTATGTCGACTGTTTGGGCTGCCGCCGGATGATGTGAGACAGGCGAGGCAGCACATGAAAGTTGAGCTGCCGTACCGTTATATCGTCTACAGTGTTGTTGGGTTTAACTGTGCCTGTGTGGTGCCTCTCCTCTTTAGGATCCTAAACCTTGCCTGAGTGTTGTGTTCCAACTGTCGATGTACTGCTGACATGTTCACCCACACAGTGACGGCAAACAGCACTTGGTTACATGACGATAATTGTTCAAAGTCAGTTGTTCTATATTTTTTTATTGTCAACAAACCCTATGAAAAAAACATAATCAATTATGAATGTATCTTACTAACAAGGAAGCAATTAATGAATCCAAACATTATTAAAAACACTTGTTTTTAGTCATTAAATAACCACTCTAGTTTGTATATTCATATTTTTATTTTTTGCTATTATTTATTTCAGGTCAGTTGAGAACATTTGATCAACTGCAAAGAAGAAGTCTTGAAATTACAGTAAGCAGCAAAAATCTGACATGACGGTTATCCTTATCATCCATGTTTAGTGTTCAGTTTTTAACCCTGATGTAATTATTGTAGATACCTAAGCAGGTTTTTCTTTTCTGAAGCACTTTTTTTCAAATCTAGTTCATTAGTGTGAGTGCTGACACAGCAGTCACACTTTAGTTCTGTTTCTTCATGATTTTTCTTCTTCTGCCATTTTTCAGTCACAATTTTTACATTTCCTGCTTCAAACTCCAGAACATTCAACTCATTTAGGACACTCCTGCTGTCGTTTTTCTTCTCATAATTTTGGAAATGTTAAACTCTTTCTTCAAATTTGGGGATTTTATAATGAGTGTCTGTGGGAGGGAAGTTTGACATTGTGCATTTTCAGCTTGATTCAGCAAAGCAACTCAGCATTTTGATGTCACACCGGCCATTGTGCTGCTGTAAATACACTTAACATTTGTTTAATCAAAAAGTGTGAGTCACTGAGTGTTTTAGGAAATAGGAAGTATATATTTGTGATCCCTATTTAAAGATTTACATCTTCATTAGGATTCAATGGGCTTGGAGCCAACAGCCTCAAACTGGGGGAAATCTTATAAGATTGAGAGAAATTAACAAATTGATTGTTTTGGACTTTTTCATGGGATTTGTTGTCAGGGTGTAGAAATTGTAGAGTTTCACCTTCCTCATCTTTTAAGAACCACCTGTGGTCGGCACATGCAAGTGTTAACTGGAACTTTTTAAACAAAGAATCTGTCAGATGTACTGTAATTGTATTCATCATTGAGGAGACTCTGTCGTACATTTACATTATTTGATTGAAATATAGAATCAGTATTAATTCATATCAGTTCTCATCTGTTGCTGTGTTAAATTACAACGCAGCCTGAAAAAAATGGATTTCTTCAAGTATTTCCTTTCCCTCGTGTCTAGATCTCTATGTAAATATAGAACAACTTTTCCTCTCTGTTGTGTTATTACTTTTTGACATTCGTCGTAAAGCATCATCGTGTTGCCTTCTTTTTCTAAAAATCTTGTACCGCACCATTGTTTTGTCATTTTAAGTTTAAACCAAGTGCTTCTTTTAAATAACCATTTGAAAGTATAGAATCAAGAAAAACAAATATTTTTGATAATTTATTTTATCATCTTAATATCTCAGGCTGAAAAGAATCTAAGTATATTATTATGAAAATTCAAAGAGACCTTTTAGCCGAAATCCTCAAACTACAGGATATAAAATCACTGACTCTAGCTCTTGTCTAAATGTTGTAATTGGTTTTTTCTGTTGCAATGTATTAATTGTTTAATGTTTGTCGGAATATGAATTTCAGAGCTCTCTTATCATGAGTACTCGTGGAATATTTATAGATCTATTACCGTCAACTCATCTTTTTTTCCTGTTATGCAAAAGGACTGTATCTGAAAAAATATGAAAAAGGATAAATAAAATGTTCAAAATAAAATTGTCTACACATTACAGACAAGTATGTATTCTGCTTTTCGAATTTAAACAATGTAATCTCAGTAACTGGAGACATCCTGAACAAAAACAGTTAGACTGGAAATCAATATCAGATCCAAACATTTTTTTCACACCAATAGTGTATACATATACTTTATGGTTTGAATTAAAAGTACTGCGAGAATCCAGAATAACAATACTTTTGTTTTGCTCAGTATACAAAGGCTCAATAACAAGGGAAGGCCAGGGTCCAGCTTTTTGCTCCCTACACCCAAATATCAGACTGGTTTCAAACTTTGAGCAACACAGATAAAGTTTTGGATCTTTTTCTGGTTTGCATTCAAACTACAAGTGATACCAATGTAACGAGATAATCTCTTCACTGTTCGTATATATTGAACTTTGGATGATGAACCGCTTTCGGTATCTAAACCTAAAGCATTCACAGAGGTCAGCGGAAAAAAAAAAGAAACATTCACACTATCAATAGAAGTATTTCAAGCTAACTGAATACAAGTCAATAACACCAAGGACTGCAGCACATGTTATAATATCAACAAGACTTTGTAGTCACTGATGTATCAAAGTCTGTTTCCATCACAGTCTAATGAATCCTAACCTGACCCCCAACATTACCTGAACCTTATCTACTATTTACCCAACCTACAGCCTCCACATTAACCTTCGAGCAGAATAACACATCTCTAAAGCAGTCTAGAAATCATTATAAACTTTTTCAATGGTAAATGTTTCATCTAACAATTGCGTACAATGCAAAATAAGAGTATTTTTGCATCATCTCACACATAAACCCGTATGACACAAACAGTCAAGGTGAGTTAATAGAATATAAGCACTAGATGAGACAAATTGGTATAAATACAAATGAATATACATACAAATATTTATATTTATGGTTCAGGCTGAGACATGATTTCCATTCCACTAGTTCACGCACGCGCAGATTGAACCAAACTCTTTTATTTTGAAAAAAAACCTAGCGCGTGTTAAAGCGGAAGTCCAGGCTGTTACCTTCACTTCCCACAACAACCTCTGGTCGCTCGGTGCTTCTCAGTGCTTCTCAGTGGAGCCATGGCTGCAGACACTCCGATGTTCAAGTCAACACGTTAGACAGCGTTTCAACTCGTCACCGTGACATCGGTGAAGAAGAGAGTCGTTGTTTTTAGTTCGTCATTAGTTTGCTAACCGGTGCTAACGCTGTTAGCTCCCTGTGTCAGTCTCAGTCATCACTGTGAGGTCAGCTTCCCTCGCTGGGGAAAAGTGATTTAATAAAAATCTTCAAGTGGTTGAAACGTTGAATCTGTGACAGATGCCTCGTCTGGACAAGTCGGAGGGAAGAGGACCGAGAAGGTAAGAGACTGAAGACACCACCTCCCAGGGTCCAGTCTCCTCTGTGCTTTATTAAAACATCAACTTTCTCTGTTTGTCTCTGTTGCTAACTGTGATGCTAACCCCCATTTTCCCTCTGACACTTAACCGTATGAATCAGAAACTACTGAAGTAGAAGACACTCCATGTGTCTCTACATGCTGCTTGTGAATTGTGTAAACACAGTGAGGAGCTTTAACATTTAATGGATCTACATCAGATTTATATAAAAAGTTTAGTTGTTTATCATGTTTGTCATTCTTTCCTCTAAACTCAACAACAACAGCAACACTGATAATGTGGCCTTCATCGTACTAACTGTTAATACATTTGTTATAGTTTTTCAGCTTTATCGTCTCGCCTTTCTATAAATCACCGCTCATTACATCCCACCTGAGAAGTTGAGTCTCTACAGTGACTGGGAATCCTTCGCAATAGTTTGCATTAAACCTGTGCAGTTAAACCATAAAGCACCACAGTGAAGTAACAGGTCATTGTACTCTTCACTAATTTATGGGAGTTTCACAGTCATACAGAGAAATGTGTCAATGACTGATGCAGAGAAACTGAAGAATTTCCTCATATCAAGGTGCATCTTGTCTGCGTTTAAACACAGGATCACAAGATAAAAACGTTTTTCTAATGCATCTTATACATTTTCTCTCTCTCTCTCTCTCTCTCTGTGTGTGTGTGTGTGTGTGTGTGTGTGTGTGTGTGTGTGTGTGTGTGTTTGTGTAACTCCAGACTAAAGTTGGACTGGAAGTTTGTTCAGAGGTTCTGCGACATCCAGAGGGTCCTGTTCCCGTCATGGACCAGTCAAAGTTCCCTGATGTTTGCTACGCTGCTGCTCGTCACTCTGACAGGTAACTGCTGGACTTACACAAGCTGAGGTCAAAAATGAAAGTATGGCAGGTAGGAGTGTAACTTTACTACTGATGTGATCACTCAATTATGATTGGAGCAGGATGGATTTGACACATGCAGTTATGTGTTAGTTCTCTTGGTAAAGTAATGAGAGGGTTGGAGTTGGAGTATCGCTCCATTGTCCTGTATCATGATGAGTTTGGGGATGTTTGCATTTAGTTTTAGAATCGTTAGACCCTCAATGGCTGCCATCGTGGGAAATAAACAGTTCAAGCTCACCATCAAATAGCTGTGTGTCTGTTGTGACATTCTAACACTACTCCTCTGACAGCAGCAGGCTGCACACTCTGCCTTTTTATCCCGCTGACCTTGAGCTCAGTGTTGCCTAATTTCCCTGCGTTGTGTTTTACAAGTCTCTGTTTGAACTGAGCTCTAACAATATGCTTACAAGTCTTTTTTCTCCTGCCACCACCAGAGCAGCTGATCATTTACCAAGTGGGAATCCTCCCCAGTCACTTCTACAATGTGCTGGCAGACAAAGATTACGCGGGCTTCACCAGTCTGGTGGGCACAGCCATGGTGCTCATTTTACTCAACTCCACAGTAAGTTGAGGTTTGACAGAGGTCGAGCTATATTCAGAAAGTTGACTTGTTGATTGTTGAGCCGAGCGTTGCCACAGAAACACATTTACTACCATTAAAACAAGTCCGATGTTTCCTCTTACAAAGTGTAAAATGCAAACTTATCCTGTATTTTATTGTGTGACGTTCGATTTTTTTACTTTACTGACTCAACACACAAGCAGCTTTTATCAGGTTAGGACGACCTGACATGACATTTTATAGCTTGAATACGCTCGATCTTGGCCGTGTGTGCTTTGGATTTTGAACCTGATGAACACCTAACGCAACACTGAGTTTATTCAAAGGAAACAAAACTCTTTATTTTCCCACATTGCTCTTTAAATCACCAGCAGTAGTGATATTTTCCTGCTAGATGTTCGTATACCCGCTATTTATTATGTTTATGTTGCTTTTTCTTTCTCATAGACTCTTTGTTCTCTTCTGTCTTTCTCTCTCCCAGCTGAAAAGTGTGGACCAGTACATTTGCAATCTAATGTACATTAGCTGGAGGAAGACGCTGACTGAGAGCCTCCATACGTCCTACTTCCAGGGACGAGTCTATTACACACTCAATGTACTTAGAAAGGAAATTGACAACCCGTAAGCTTCAATGGTTTTAGTTTTTGTCTTATCTATTGCTTATCTAGACACGAGTGCTAGTTCAATTTATTTAGTTAATCAACACGTATATCTTTGCAAACACATGGAAATGTATCATTAAAAAGGTTTCATGTATTAAAGCCTGCAGATATTTTAAAGTGAAATATGATCTTGCAGTGGAAAACCGTGTTAACTACTTATGTTCTTTGTGTTTTGTTGGAACACCAGAGACCAGAGGATCAGTCAGGATGTAGAGAGGTTGTGTAAGCAGATGAGCACCATGGCCAGTCGCTTGATCATCTCACCATTCACTCTGACTTACTACACCTACCACTGCTCTTACAGGTGGGTCTGTAGAGGGGTGTGGCAACACGTAGCTTCATATGCTAGCGCATAAACCGTCATCAGAAACACAGACGGTTATTGTAGAAACACTTTCACAATTGAGCTTATGAAAGTCTTGTGGTCATGAAATACTGAGAGGAAATTGAGAAAGCTGGGAAAAGAAGAGTATCAGTTTTTATATGTAACTTTTGAGCTGTTTATCAAACCAATATAACATATTATATTATATATCACTATAGAGCACAATTATGAGGAAAACCAGGAAAGAGAGACAACGTTTATTACTTGTCTGTTTTATCTGTTCAATTTATTTGCAATTCCTTTCCCCCATATTGTCTTTTACACACGATGTTAAGGTCCAGTGTATAACCTGTAAAAATGAAGTTTCCCTGTTTTGCAGCACCGGCTGGATCGGTCCTGTGAGTATCTTCAGCTACTTTGTGATCGGGACCATTGCTAATAAAATCCTCATGGGGCCGATTGTGTCGACTCTGTTTGAGCAAGAAAAACTGGAGGGAGACTTCAGGTAAAGTTTAATCTACTGTTTGTACACAGAGGTACTCAAACAGCATTTGTTTGTGTCAATTATAATTTGTTCCGACAGAAAAGAAAAGCAGGGTTCAAATCAGGTTTTCCTCTGAACAGACAGGTTTTGTGTGTTTTTCCACCTTTGTTTAATGCTAATATTTCCTGGAAGCCAGTTCTTGAGTGAATAGGAAGTGTCTGTATACTTTGGCCAACAGCCTTTTGGCTCTTAGGAAATAACACAGGATACGTGTCAGCTTGCAAGGTTGGCAAGGTCGTTTTTTCCCGGAGGAGTTGAATCGTAATTTTATCTGTTACACTTTGCAACAATTTGATTTTGTCTCGTTAGAGGAAACTTAAATAACGTTGTTTATTTTTACGGAAATGTCATGTTTGCTTTGTCTGCAGGTTCAAACACATGCAAATCCGTGTCAACGCAGAGTCTGCGGCTTTTTTCAGGTGATGACATTAATTTTGTTTGTGATTGTGAATATGAAGATAAGGACATAAAACATCAATATACATCTGAAGCACGTAGTCTGATCTGATCACACAGATTATGTGGTTGAAGCAGTTTGGATGAAACGCTGCTCTCTGTGTTTTAAGATCTGGTAAAGTGGAGCACATGAGGACGAACCGGAGACTTCAGACTCTGCTACTCACTCAGAAAAGTCTCATAAATAAAGAACTCTGGCTCTATAGTAAGATCATATTACACAGTACTCACCCACTCACTCATATCAATCATCATATTGCCATCACTTGTAAGTTAACCTCTGATCTCTGCACTCAGTCGGAGTGAACACCTTCGACTACCTCGGGGGTTTCCTCAGCTACATCATAATCGCCATTCCCATCTTCACCGGTATTTATGATGGTCTGACTCCTGGCGAGCTCAGTGGACTCATCAGTAAGGTGAAGTCCTTCTTTTCCTTTTCCCAATAGCTTTGAAATTGTAGTTCTTGAAAAATGCAGCTTTATGGACACAAAAAAAGCCCTGGGATCTGTGTTGTGTACACAGTCCACCAATTTTTATCAATATAAAGACAGTTTTTGAAAAAAGGAACTAAAAGTAGGAAATTGAATCATATGATCACTTATGAAATGTTTCCTGAAAGCCAACAATGTGCAAAAGTATCAGACACATCAAAAAAAAAAAAACCATTCTGCTAAAGAGGTGGAACAATTTTTTGATTTGCATCAAGATCGAAATATGTGGGATGGTCTTTTTGTTTATTCAAGTGGTGTCGGAATAATAAGAAGAAGAAGAATTAGCTCCCAACTGGGAGAAGTCATGTGAACGCCATTTCAAGTCAGAAAGTCAGCGTAAAGATTTGCCGTTGTCATCCCATATAAACCAAGTAACATTTTACAACGGCTCTAAAAAGTAGCTGTCACTGTAAACTTGCAAACTGCATAATCATCTCTCACAAGCGTCTAACACCAAAACGCAAACAGCTGTTGTACCAATACCTGTCCGTGTGTTTTACACTCTGGCCTCAACACAAATGAACAAACTGGGACCCTGGGAGGAGCTCAGTCAGTCCCACTTCATACTAGAGAACTGCTGAATGAAAGTGAATGTTGCTCATTTCACCACAAGGTGGCAGTAGAAGCCTTCTCTCCTGCTAACACATTCAACTCTGCTCATCCAGTTCAAATGTCTGTTGTCTTAATGTGTTAATAAGATTCATATTAGCGTCATAACTCTCATAGTCTTTATCATTTGCCTGTGTAAAATTTTTGTTCTGCCACTTTTTATCGTATTCCTGCTCTGCTTCTCCTTGTTCCCACTCAGAACGCCTTTGTTTGCATCTACTTGATAAACGGCTTCACGCAGCTAATCGACCTGTCGACCACTCTGTCAGACGTGGCCGGATACACCCACAGGTATCACACCACTCACTTAGAATCAACTCCTAGAGGACAGAAAACGACAGCAGCGTCGGCATGACCTCCTCCTTTCTGTCTCTGAATCTGTGTGTGGGTCAGGATTGGGGAGCTGAGGGAGGTGATGGGCGACATCCTACGAAAGCAGTGTGACTATGACCCGGCGTCAGGAGAAAACTACGACTTTGACAGGTGTGTGTGTGTGAGACCTTATAAATGAATCTCTGCTGCAGGGATTTGATATCTTAATAATATAATGCATGAAGCTTTTCAGCCTCCTCACATTCTTTGTGTTTATTCATCTCCACACAGTGACTTCAATGTCAACGCAGGCCCAGTGGACACCGCCTTCATACTGGATCATCTTTCATATAAATCTCCATTCTCGGACCAGCTGCTGGTCGAGGACCTGAGTCTAAAGATCAGTCAGGGAACTCATCTGCTGGTGGTGGGAAACACAGGCACCGGCAAAACGTCACTACTGAGGGTCCTCAACCGACTGTGGGAGGCACACAGCGGTGAGAGATAAAGTTTGAGTTATCCTAATTGATCGTGAAGTGAATGTGTATAGTTATTAATTTACAAATCAATGAGTTGTCTTTGTCTGAGCTACTTTTGAAACAAAGTGAGTCCAACACTATGTAACTCTTAACTGAACCACTCTGTGATTAATTCTGTGGAGCTGCTGAACCTGATCTGACAATTTAAGCTGCGACTATTGGTCAGTTCCACACTTCTCACAGAAGATCCCACCCACTCACCAAAGTTACAAAGAGCAAGAACAGACGTTGAGGGTGAAGAGTGGCAATTAAAGTGACGCCATTCTCCCTATTCCAAGTCAGCGTTGTAAAGCATTGTTTTAAAGAACTGGTCTAATTAAAAATGTCCACAATGCACACTACTAAATGACTAAAATACACAAATGTAAATTGACTTTTGAATTTTGAATCTCCTCCTCAGGTTTTGTCCAGATGACGACCTGCTTCGGGCCCAGAGGAACCCTCTTCCTGCCTCAGAAACCGTACCTGACCGACGGCACGCTGCGTGAACAGGTGGCCGTCTCTTATTTACAGTATTTAGTTTTCCTTTTAAAGGTTGTGTGGATGCAGTGAAGGATTAACTTGAACTCTCGTCTCCTACAGGTTATCTACCCACTGAAGGATATTTACCCTGCATCAGGTATCAGATTTTACTTTCACTAAACAACATTAAACTGTGTAACAGTTAAAGACTAAAATTGTTAATTGATTAATTATTCTGGTCGAAAACCGTGTGTATTTTATATAATGTAGATCGACTCTTAGATCATTTGTACCTCAACAACATTCACATCAAATGGGAAAGACCCCACAACTATAATGTTTTCTGAAGACAATTTGATGTGAAAATATTAGTGACACATTACAGCAGCAGATTTTACATAAATGGACGAATGAATACTGAAATATTTCTAATTAATCCAAACTTGTTTTTTGTCTAAGTTGTCATTTTACCTTTATATCGATGCTGCCTCGTAAAATCACTGATATGATCTCTAATCTTTTATTCATACATATTTACACCATTTATCATTTTTCTTATTCAGGGTCAGTGGACGATGACAGAATTATACAGTTCCTGGAATTAGCCGGAGTGGTGAGTGTTTTTCTCTCACAGGGTGCTGCTGTTAATGTGAAATCTATTTTATTTTATCACAGTGTTGATTCATCATTTGCCTAATTTTAAATCCAAGCACTGAAACTCGAATCTGTTCTTTAGTCGAGTCTCTTGAAGCGGACAGGTGGGCTGGATGAAGAAGTGGACTGGAACTGGTAGGAGCAATATAAAAAACAGAAATGTGTGAACAGTAAATTATACTGTTTGTTACAAGTAAAACTGTGATTTCCTCTGCAGGTACGATGTTCTGTCTCCAGGTGAAATGCAGCGTCTCTGCTTCGCACGACTTTTCTACCTTCAGCCCAAATATGCAGGTGAGTCATGTGACTCGTGCTTCCTTAATACAGTATATATTTTTTCTTATTTTCTCATTTTTCAAATTTTTTTTCTTTGCAGTATTGGATGAGGCCACCAGTGCTTTGACCGAGGAGGTGGAGGCACAACTGTACAGGACGTGTAAACAGCTCGGTATGACTCTGATCAGTCTGGGACACCGCAGCAGCCTGGAGAAGGTAGAGCCAACACACCTCTGCAGTCTACATCCCTGATCAGTGCCATATTGGGAATACTGTGTTTCCCTATATCTCTTAGTTTTTACACTGACTAAAAAAATCTTCCTTAACTGTGGTACTGGGGTGGATAGGTTTTGTTTTGGTCGGTGTGGGATTGTTACATATACTCACTGTTGTGCATTATTTTTCTTTTAGTGTAGAATGTTAACAGGCATTAACTGAACTGGTTGTGATTGGCTAGTTACAGGTTCACTCTCACTATCATCCATCTTCTTTATAACCTCTCTAAGCTCTAAACATCTACCAGGGTGAGACACTGGAACAGAAACTTTGTTAATAACCTGGAGACAGTTGTAAATAGTTCACATCTAATTACTGACACCAATTACACCACCTACTGACATGACAAGGACATAACATGATAGGAGAACAGCAGCCTGAGAAACATTCATGTCATAAATGGCCGCTCTGGAATCGAATTGACAATAATCCATAGCAGCAACATCTTTTTTTTTTTATCATCATTGCTGCCAGCAATATTAACTGTCTGTTTCATTTCACAGTACCATGACGTCCAGTTGAAACTGTGCGGAGATGGCCTATGGGAGTTAACAAGGTTAAAAGGAGGCAGCGGCTTCAACGACAGAGACGAAACCATGTGACCACAGAGTCATCTTTTTTGAAATCCTGGACATGCAGGAAGCTTCAGCGTGGGAGGCGAGAACCAAAAACACTCCTGAATTCCTCAGTTTGTAACATTCAAAACACTCGAACTTCGAAAAGGTACTGAAAACACAGTCACTCCTTTGGAAGTGAATGAACATGATTTCATTCATGTCCACAGGCTTTTTAAGAGCAAAACATTTTATTACTTGTTTTCTTTGTCAAAAAGAGATGAAGGAATGTGTGGGAGTGCAATATATGATTCCAGGAAGGATGAAGCTTGTGGCTCAGGAACTGTAACTTTTTGGACCCATTGAACTAGTATGAAAAGAAATCAGGAAGGAAAAGAGGAAACTAAAAACCCAGCAGATCTTATGTATAATGAAATTTCAGTGGTTTATTTTATGTTTACACACACTATTATTCAGTTTCGCACTAAAAGACAATGTTTTGTAAAGTACATTTGTGGACAATGCATTCAGTTTAAAGTGTTTTACTTGATTTAATACAAATATTCATCTGTGCAATAAAAAAGAAAAAAATATTTGGCCTTTAAAAAGACTTTTTGAAACTTCATCTTCCTCTTCAAGTAAGAATCATTGTGACTGTTGTTTACCTAAGAGCTCAGCGTGACCGTCAATGATTTCCTGAACCACTGCAGGGTCATCCAGCGTGCTGAGGTCACCCAGACCATTCAGGTCGCGCTCCACCACCTTCCGCAGCACCCGTCGCATTATCTTACCCGAGCGTGTCTTTGGCAGACGCTGGCAGATCTGTGAGAATGACCCAAAAATAAGTTACCATGTACAAGTTAAGTCTCAAATGTCTTGTTTGCAATGTGAAGCGAGTGAAACAGAATTACCTGGATGCAGTCTGGACAGGCGTACTTGGCGATCTTTTTAGACACTGTCTGTTTCAGTTGCCTGGACAGGTCCGACTCTTGGGCGTCTGCGCTCTTCTTTAGAACCACAAAGGCATAAACGCCTGAAGAAGCACAAAGACCGAGAACCCTGTTATCAGATTCTTATTCTTCCTGCTGAGCTACGTGACACAGGAACAAAGTGTGGCTCACCTTGTCCTTTGATGTTGTGCGAGTATCCTATGACGGCAGATTCGGCCACTGCAGAACATTGATTCTGTGACAGATGATCGCAGTCGGGATTGTGAGAAAACATCCGGGTTTAAAGTTTCATCGCTCGTGTTTTAGACGGAAAATGGCTGAAAACATAAATTAAGCTCCAAGAATTGTTTTTCACTTTCTTTACTTACGGAGGTATTGCCATTGCGAGATCTCAACTGTATCAGATAACAGATATTTTACCTGTGCTTAATGTGAGCAGTTTGCGGAATATTTCTGTCTACATGGTTTTTTATCTTACATTAATACATGTATATGCAATACATTTGTAGGATTGTTCAACCTTGGAGTTTTTTCTCTAGTGTCATTCTAGCTGAAACTGAAACTCTCGCTCTGCAATCTAACGACATATTTCTTCATTCGCCACTTACCACAACATCCTCTATCTCTGCTGTCCCAATCCTGTGACCGCTCACATTGATGACATCATCAAGGCGCCCGGTGACCTGGTAATATCCCTCCTTAGATCGATAGGCGCCATCACCGGTATAAAAATAACCTAACACAGGGATTTTAGAGACAATAATAAATGTAGAGTCCAGCAGAGAAAGGAGAGAAAAACGCCATAACGACTGTTTGTTCTTGAACGCATCGCACTGTACCAGGATAAGGCTGACAGTAGGTCTCAGTGAATCTCTGGTGGTTGTTGTGAATTGTTCGGGCCATACCGGGCCAAGGCTGAGCTATGCACAGAGCTCCAGACGTGTTGTTGGAAGTCACAACTTTTCCCTGGAGAAATCCAAAAGACAAACGAACGGCAAAATAAAGGCTGATTAAATAACTGATATAGTTACTGCAACAAGGAACTCTTGTAAGAACGCATTGTTGGAAGTGCACTGATGTTATTGAAACCCTGTGCTCTCAAACGGCTGTGTGAGGGTTTGTGTTGGGAGGAAGGAAGAGAGATCAGCTCAGAGACACCACCTCTCCAACTGTCTGCACAATCTGTGCATCACAGGAGAAACTGCAGCAGCCTCAAAACAGTACGACAGATTTTCAATGGGGGGTTTGGCACGCACAGAACAGGACTGATGGGTGGGTATCAAAAGTGACACAGCTGGTGACTGTTTCATAATCCTAATCTGACCCTCTCCTCTGGGTTATAGCCAGCCAGCATTTGCAGGGTAGCACGCCACACACACACATACACACACAGGGATGAGCACCGTACCTCAGTGTCCATGAGCACTGGCTTTATGCCAAAGAAAGGTCTCATAGCCATTCCTGGGACAATCTCTGCGTCTGGGTCCGACGGCCTCGGGGCGATGCAGATGCCACCTGTCTCTGAGAACACAGAGGAAAAATAAGACGGATTTAGGATTATATAAAGTGGTGTATGTGCAGCGTGCATTAAACTCAAAAATAGCTTTTTATAAGCCCGCCGTCTGATGTGGTTATAAAAGACTGAGGACGATTGAACCACTCTGACCCACAGTAACATCTAATAGAGCGACGCAATCCAAAGACAAAATGCAAAATAATGAGAAAACTGTTTAAATAATGAGAGAGTGGTACGAAGTAAATGACTAAACAGTTTCTACCATGAGCCCTTCACACTACATATGTAGATTATGGAATTACAGCCATAATAAATAAATGAAATGCAATTAGGTTTTTTTCTGGGCCTCTGGGGCTGATAAATCCTCTTGGTGGTGTTGGAGGCAGCAGAGGGAACCAGTTATTAAGTAGGACACGACAGATGATCCCACAATAGCACCAGCAACTGGCATCCACTTCAGATCCACTGTAGCTGTGAGACCTCCGGACCAAACGGCCCCCAGAGGAGCCGCTACAGACCTGGACCAGTTAAACATGCACTTATAAATACGCTCATTTACTTGCTTGCTGATTGGTCAGAATACTGGAAACACTCTCACTCATCTGTCCTTTCAATATGAGATCACAGTCAGCAGCTGGTTATCTTAGATTAGCGTTAAAACTGGAGACAAGGGAACAGTTATAGTGAGTTTGCATGGTGTCAAAGTATTTGTATGTCCGTCACACCTGATCCTTTTTCTTTGCTCTTCATTATAATACAGATATTTGAAATGTGGTGGTGTCAACATAAATTCAACACATTATGTATACACCATCCATGTTTTTTCCATTTTACGTCTTCTAAGCACAGGAACACGCCAAAGTCGGAACAAATATTTCACAACACGGACATTGGACCTTCTAAAGGAGCAGAAAGCACAATTTGCCTTCCAGCTCACATTTTATTATCTTAGGAATGAGCCAGGCTAGCTGTTTCCCCCTGTTTCCAGGCTTTACGCTAAGCTAAGATAACCGGCGACTCGTTGTAGCCATGTATTCAGAGAACACAGAAGTATTCATCTTCTACTTTATTCGATAAACAACAGTATTTCCCCAAATGTGACACAATTGCTTAAAATACAATTTAAACACACAAATACTAAAACACAATTTTTTATTTTTGCAGCCTCTCAGCTCTCTCATCCTATTTGATCCAACACAGAGGCCGTATGCCAGCAACGGATCAAAATCTAATTTTGCCTCTAAACAGGCTACTTGTTCCCAGATCAACCAAATGGCGTTTATGAATAATGCCACTTAGTCCTAATTGGAAACACTAGTCCAGGCAAATAACACAACAACATAATCCTTTTTTACTGAAGTAGGGTATTTGGGTCATATCTGTGTCTGTGATTCTCAGGCTCATTCTCTGGCCCTGATGTTTAATTATCTGCAATTAATTATAGATTGATTTATTTTTTTAGCCATGTGTCTGGTAATTAATGCAGCTAGGTCCCATTTGGTCGAAACTCGTGTGTCTGTCAGTGGTTCATGTGTTCATCTAAAAGATACATTTTTCTTCAAATTCAGGCGATTTCGACAACCCAGTAAAGATGGTTTCTGTCACGTTAAGTAGTTTTTATCACACTGAAGTTTGTTTACGTTTTTATTTTCCTGGTAAATTTGGTTTTGATTAGTTATACTATAAAAACAGGGTGAAACTTCATGATTGACAGCTGAGACTGACTCATGACTGGTCGAGCATGTGACCTTACTAACGCGCAGATGCGGCTTTGATATCTGGGATATTTCTGGATAGTGGGAGGAGAGACACTTTGTCTATCTTTATGTGCCACACCCGGCCATTTACTGTGATCACACACTTAGTCAAGTTTACAATATATATATACACTGTTGTTTCTTTTTCCCACTGGTTCTTATGATATGACCATAAATATCCAGACAAACCTAAAAATCAAATATATGAACGTTAACTTATTCATATATGTGCATGTGAACAAGTTGAAGAGCGAGTTTACATTTTCCCGGGGTTTTGAGGTCAAACCAGGCCACCAGCTGCACTGCAGAGTGTCCTGGAAGTTGAAAGTTCATACACTGATCTGAGTCTCTTCAGACGGTCACAGATACTTTTTTGTGACGTGGCTGCATCCAGCTGGTTACTGAGAGCATTTGATAAACAGTGTGATCAAGGATAGAATGATCCCCGTTGAATTTCTCTGCATGGTGTTGACGTCAACTGTAATTATTACTCAGTGTTGAAAAAAGTTGAATGATAAAAGCTGCTCCCAAACTTCAGCGTTTAATTCAGAGAGAAAAAAAATCTGGCTTCATTCTGGAGATTCCAGAGGGTACATGTAAATTCCTTCGCTTGTGCGTGTCTCTGTGTGTGTCAATATACTTTATGTCTACCACACATACTGTACTATTGTGTATGTATGTGCATGTGTTGTTACGTAACACTGTTGCTGAAGGAACAGAGCTGACTGCCCTCCCCTTTAAGGCTGACTGTTGTTAGACAGGCTGCAGACGTGGCTGTGTTCAAGGACAAGCTTGTTTGATAAGAACTCGGATTAGAACTACCTAAATTGACAGAAACCTTCTTTGAGCAACATTAATTTGTACTTGTATCTTTTACTTTGATCAATGTCCCATCCACTAACATGGAGGCGACAGGACTCATACAGCAGCCAGACACCAGGTGGCGATCAAGACGCTTTGGCTTCACTTTAGGGGAGCATTCATGGCGTCAATTTAATCTGATAACTTCCACACATTAGTGTTCACACTCACCTGTTTGCCACCAGGTGTCCACCACAGGACAGCGTCTGTCCCCGACCACACTGTGGTACCACTCCCACGCTTCAGTGTTGATGGGCTCGCCCACTGCACAAACACATGGTTGACATACATTGTTGTTGCATATTTGTTTTAGTCACATTATCAGTTTATTTTTTTAATGAATATTCAGACAAACAAGCTGAGGGTGAAACAGTGTTAGCAAAGAAAGACGTGTGTGGTTGTTTCTATGGATGCTGTGGATTACTGAGACATGTTGACATACCAGCCAGGCTTATACTTCTAGTATGTAACACGTGTGTGTGTGTTTACAGGAGAGGAATTCCTCTGGGGACTTTGTACCACATGAGTAGTGTAATCCATCCACTATCTTTACATCACTTATCCTTGAAGGCTTGTGTGGGTTAGGTTATTACTGCATTCGATGTGTGACACAATCAAACTGACAGCAGGTTGTGAAGGAAGCTGGAGATTTTAATTGACGGTTAATTGTAGATTTTGTTCTAGTGATGTTGTTTCGTCCCCATAGCTAAGTATAAGGTTAAAAATATATGATTTTCCTACAGATGCATGTCATTTTGCACATTAGAGTATTTTCCAGAACACAATCATACCAGAGCCCAGAGTTTTGAGGGTGGAGCGGTCGTATTTGTGCACCCACTGGTCTCCATATTTGAGCAGCAGGCGGATAGCTGTGGGAGCTCCGTAAAACTGGTTAATCTTCAGTCTCTGAACCATCTCCCAGTACCTTCCTGTGAAAAAACACAACATGCGTATGTTAGTATAAAGACGATGAGACGCTGATCATTGAAAAATGAGACAGGAGTGAAACCTGAGTTTTTAACCCTCAGCAGTTTTACTTTCACATAACATTGTGTGATGGCGGTGTCATGACTCCTGTTTTAACAGGAGCTTCTGGTTTTGACATGGAAGGTATGGTAAGTTCAAGTTCAACTGATGGACAGCTATTCATAGACAGAGACATGAGCGTGTGGAGCTGCTGGGAAAGGACACAAATATTTAGAAAGTTTGTGTAAGCATGTTACACAGCATATACAATGTTATATTAACAAAACCACAAAAATGTCTTTGTACAATTACAGCTGATAAAAACACCTA